CCAGGGGTCTCTGGGGGTCCCTGGGGGTCTCTGGGTGCCCCAGGATTGCTCTGGGGGTCTCGGGGGGTCTCTGGGTTGACTCTGGGGGTCCCTGGGGGTCTCTGGGTGCCCCTGGTTGGGTCTGGAGGTCTCTGGGTGCTCCAGGTTGGTCCTGGGGGTCTCCAGGGGTCTCTGGGTGCCCTGGGATTTCTCTGGGGGTCTCTGGGTGCCCTGGGTTGGCTCTGGGGGTCTCCGGGGGTCTCTGAGGGTCTCTGGGCATCTCTGGGTGTCTCTGGGTGCTGCGGGTCGGCTCCGAGGGTCTCCAGGGGTTTCTGGGGGTCTCTGAGTGCTCTAGGTTGACTCTGGGGGTCCCTGGGGGTCTCTGGGGGTCTCTGGGTGCCCCTGGTTGGGTCTGGGGGTCTCTGGGGGTCTCTGGGTTCACTCTGGGGGGTCCCTGAGGGTCTCTGAGGGTCTCTGGGTTCCCCGGGTTGGCTCCGGGGGTCTCTGAGCCCCCCCTCTCATCCCCCTCACAGGCTGCGTGGGGGGGGCAGCGCCCTCCTGTCCCCAAAACTGCGGCACCTCCTCGAGGGGATCCACAGGTGGGCCCCCCCCCCGGTTGTGGCCCCCCCCACCCCCCCCCCTCCCCCCCCCCCCAGGGCAGATTCGGTGACGTGGAACCCCCACAAGCTGCTGATGGTGGGGCTGCAGTGCTCGGCTTTCCTCATCCGGGACGGATCCGTACGTGCCCCCTCCCCAAATTCCAGACCCCGGGAGGGGCCCCCAGACCCCCCAGAGACCCCCCAGGGACACCCAGACACACCCAGAGACCCCCCAGGGACACCCAGAGACCCCCCAGACCCCCATGTTGGCTCCGGGGATCTCTGGGGGTCTCTGGGTGCCCTGGGTTGGCTCTGGGGGTCTCTGGGGGATCTCTGAGGGTCTCTGGGGGTCTCTGGGTGCCCTGGGTTGGCTCTGGGGGTCTCTGAGGGTCTCTGGGGGTCTTTGGGTGCCCTGGGTTGGCTCTGGGGGTCTCTGGGGGTCTCTGGGTGCCCTGGGTTGGCTCTGGGGGTCTCTGGGGGGTCTCTGGGGGTCTTTGGGTGCCCTGAGTTGGCTCCGGGGGTCTCTGGGGATCTATGGGGGTCTCTGGGCGTCTCTGGATGCCCTGGGATTGCTCTGGGGGTCTCTGGGGGTCTCTGGGTGCCCCGGGGTTGGTCTGGGGGTCCCTGGGGGTCTCTGGGTGCCCCAAGTTGGCTTCAGGGATCTCTGGGGGTCTCTGGGTGCCCCAGGATTTGTCTGGGGGTCCCTGGGCATCTCTGGGGGTCTCTTGGGTGCTCCGGGTTGGCTCCAGGGGTCTCGGGGTGCCCTGGGATTGCTCTGGGGGTCCTTGGGCATCTCTGAGGGTCTCTGGGTGCCCTGGTATTGCTCTGGGAGTCCCTGTGGGTCTCTGGGTTGGCTCTGGGGGTCTCTGGGTGTCTCTGGAGGTCTCTGGGGGTCTCTGGGGGTCTCTGGGTTGGCTCTGGGGGTCTCTGGGGGTTCTTGAGCCTCCCACTGATCCCGGGGTGCCCCAGGTTGGCTCTGAGGGTCCCTGAGCAACTCTGGGGGTCTCTGGGTGCCCCGAGTTGGCTCCAGGGACCTCTGGGAGTCTCTGGGTGCCCCAGGGTTGCTCTGGGCATCTCCGTTGGTCTCTGACCCGTCCCCCCCCCGACCCCCCCAGGGTCTCCTCCAGCGCTGCCACGGGGAGGGGGCCCCGTACCTGTTCCAGCAGGACAAATTCTACGGCCCCTCCCTGGACCCGGGGGACAAAAGCCCCCAGTGCGGGCGCCGCCCCGACGGCCTCAAACTGTGGCTGCTCTGGAAGGCGCTGGGACAGAGGGGGCTGAGGGAGCGCGTGGAGAGAGCATTCGCTGCCTCCCGGTGAGAGGGA